AGGGGGGAAGTGAAGAGGGAGGGGAAGGGGGAGGAAAGGGAGGAGAAGAAGAGGGAGAGGGGGAGAGGAAGGGGACGGGGGAGGAGAGGGACTGCGCTCTTCCAAGCCGCACGCTGGACTCCCCGGATTAAAATTCCAGGGAAAACGTCCCATTGAGATGTGTACGTGACTTTTTCCTTCTCAGCACCGTTAACTTCGCCGCAAATGGAGGGAAAACAAACAATAAAACCCCCTAGGTCTTTAGTAAAGTAGGAAATGGAAGAAGCGCGAGGGGTGGTGGGGCACCGGCGGCAGAGTTCAAGTTCTTTGAGCTTTGGTAATTCTATCAAATTCTAAGCGATTGTAACTTCTAATCAAGGACTGCATAGGTCACACGTAACTCTGAAGAAAGCGCTTCTTGTGTCGTAGTGCCCGGCTAGCTCAGTCGGTAGAGCATGAGACTCTTAATCTCAGGGTCGTGGGTTCGAGCCCCACGTTGGGCGCAGGTGGAAGACTTTTGATTTCATATGACGACCAGTGGTTTTAACCGAAGATGTGATTGTCCTTTCCTGAAGCTCTCTGCGTAAAAATTCTGGTAACTTAAATAGGGCCGCTTTTCAATCTTCTTGTCTGCATCTATTGGTCAATCCGTTAACTCGTTACGAGGTCCTTGTAGCCCCTTTTTCTTTTTTAAAATCAAACCCAGGGTCTTGAGAATGCCTTGCAAGAGCTCTACCGCCTAATTACACTCTCCAGTCCTTATTTAAACCATATTAAGTGTTCAATTTTGTGGCATTAAATACATTCACATTGCTGAGCCCCATCACTGTCGTCCATCTCAGACCTGTAGATCTTTATCGTATCTTCCCTCAGAAACAGTGCTTATCAAAGGCGAACTCTTTGCCCAGCCCCTGCAACCAACAATTGTCCCTGTGAATTTGATACTCTTCCTATCGCAATCAAATTCACAGAGACAATATGTATAGTGGGGGGGAGGGGGGGTACTTTTTGAGGCAGTTTTGTGTAGCTCAGGTTGGCCTAGAAGTCATTATGTAGTCAAGGGTGAACTTGAACTTTTGAATTGAACTTCAGATTCTCCTACCTCCACCTCCCTACTGCTGGGATTACAGGCAGTAGCCACCCTGCCAGACTCATTTATTCTTTTTAACTGTTTTATGTCACTGAACAGAACACTTTCCAGATTCACCCATGTTGTAGAAGCATTAAAATTTCCTTCCATTAAAGGCCAAATAACATTCCATTACATGTGTGTATATACC